ATAATTGGGATGGAAGTATCAGAGACAGTGCGATTGGCACAGGACAGAGCGGAGTTTAGGGCTGTTGTACATAGGGTCGCTATGAGTCACAGGCGACTCGACGGCACATAACAACAACAATACTTGTGTTAGTACTAGTATGAAATACTAATACATGTTAACTGAACAGTTTTGGTTAGAAATAATTTCTGCTATGTACTGGTTAATTAAGTAAATTATTCTGAATATGCTCCAAACTTGGTACTGAAGTCACCATTAAGATCCACTTCCACAATAGCTTGCCTCTGGAAACACCATGTACCTGGAGAAAGGACAAATGTTATACAAGAGGTGTCCAGGACTTTCGTTCTTAGGGTCGCTATGAGTCGCCTGCGACTCACCGGCACTTAGCAATACCACCACCACCAACAGCATAGAGAGAGAACAGGTGGACAGAAAGTCATGTTCCCAAGCCAAAGGTGGGTGACTCTACTCCACGGCCCTCAGGCCTGCCTTTAATTGTTTTTGGTGAAACATTCTTCTAGGTCATGTAAACCTGGTCTGTCCACTTGCTGTACAGAGGTACCTTCTGGTTGCTGTGAAGCCAAACATTGTGACACTGAGGAGTCAGTTGTGATAATGGTTACCCATGGCCAACAGTGTTGGGTGGAGCTCCCCGATTAAAACAAGCTTGGAAGCAGGAGTGGCCTCCACTTCCACAGTAGCTTGCCTCTGGAAAGCCTGTGAACCTGGAGAAAGGACGAAAGTTACACAGGAGGTGTCCAGGACTTTGGTTCATAGGGTTGCTATGGGTCACCTGTGACCCGACGGCACTTAACAACAACATGCAGTGATTTTGTCAAAGCTTTTTTTAAGAGAATATAGCTTCTCCATAGTATTTCACATGGCTGTTTTCTAGTTTTTCATCTGTCTTTTGTAGGTTGTTTTTCTTCTTTTTTCCTTAGACAGCTGTCACTTTATGGTTAACACTTCATCTGCTATTTAGTGTTTTTCTCTATATTTTACTCTGACAAGATGATGCTGTTGCTCTTCGTTATTGTCAAGTCATTTCCAACTCAGCCCTGTGTACAACAGCACGAGACCCTGCTCTGTCCACCACCCTCCCCGTCACCGTTTTCAGCCCACTGTTGCAAACACTGTCAGTTCAACTTGTTCCAGCTCTTTTTCTCCATCCCTGATTCACCGGCCATGATGTCATCCAGACACTCGTCCTTCCCAATAACATACCCAAGATCTGTAAGACGGACTCTTGCCGTTCCAACGGCCAAGGAGCATCCTGGCAGCCCTTTTCCTGAGATAATTCCATTCTCTTGATGTGTGTTCTCTATGAATTTAAGATAGAAAAAAGGTCATCTGTGTCCTAAGCGTTCTGTGGACTTTGTTTCAGTCACAGTGTCCATTCCATCCCCTAACCAGAACACATTGGGATGTGTTCATGTCACACAGCTCAAAGAAAAGATCAATGGTTCAAGTCCACCAGCTGCTCCAGGAGAGAAAGCTGACCAGTCTCCTCCACCAACATTGATAGCCTTGGGAACCTAATGCAAGATCGTCTTGACTTGGAATCAGCTCAGGGGCAGTGAGGTAAATGCTGATGGCTTTTTCCAAGTCCCATCACTTCTTAAGCCTTCTTATTTATTTCTTCTTACATATTTCTTGGGCCTTTGAAGACAGTAAATTTAAAAATCCGTGACCCAGTAATAACATTCTTGTCCTTTTTCCTTATTTGCATGCCTAACATACATAAGGCTTCTATAATTAGGAAATTTGACCATGTATATATTTTTTACTTCTGTATTTTCCCATGTAATTAAAGGTCCTTGTGCTTAGTTTCATGGACTCCTGGTGCCGCAGTGACAGTCCACAGCCACTAACTGAATGGTTGGCAGTTTGAACCCCATAGCACTTTACAGAGACCATAGAGTAGCTAGTTCATGTAAACATTTCAGCCTTGAGAACCCTATGAGGCTGATGTGTAATGTCTGGTAAGTCTACTACGAGTTGGGTTTGACTCACTGGCATGGGGTTGGTTTTGGGGTGTTAACTGCCATCAAACTGAGTCTGACTCATAGCAACCCTATGAACAATAGAAGTGAACCCTATCCTATCCTGTGCCATCCTCATTTCTGACATACGGGCCCATAACTGCAGTCACTGTTCAGTCCATCTCATTGGGTCCCCCTCTTAACCCTGCACCATTCCAATCATGATGTCCCTTCCCAAGAAATAGCCTCTCCTAAACAGCATGCCCAAAGTATGTAAGACAAAGCTTTGCCATCCTTACCTCCAAGAACTCTGGTTTTA